TTGTTGTTGTTGTTGTTGTCATCGGATGGCTGGGTACCTGTGCATTGCAAACAATCGATTATGTATCGAAAAAGTGACCCGGCGTCACACAGGAGTCTCGGAATTCGGGACATGGAAATAAATGCTTAAAAGTGCAAAAATGCTCTCCCAATTACATTACGACTCTATGTACTGTATGCATGGTTCACATTGATATGGCGTGGCTTGCTCTAGCTTAGGCCTAAAAAGAGAGCAAAGGCAGACAGAGTATATCTAGAGGGGGCGACTAGATAGCCTTTTTGGGTTAGTAAGGGGGACCATGTGCTGACACCCTACCCTGCTTTTGATAATCAAATAAAGACATTTTTGAAGACAACAAAATATCAAAAGCACAGGGCAAATTTATACAGTTAAGGTGCAGAGAAAAAAGAGAGAAAAAACAATTACGACGGGAGAAAAATAAAACAATATTGGTAATGAATAACTCTGGGAAAAAAATAAAAAGTATTAGGTAGTATGAGTTAATTTAGACAAAGGTTCTTACAAAATTGCGTATGTTCAAAGCTGTCCAGTGCTTTTGGGAATAAATCGGCAAGGTCATTATCAAAGACATAAAGACAGAGTGCTCGTATCTAAAAGCACGGGGAAAAAGTGAAGCCTAGTTTGGCGCTGGGTGCTTGTGTGAGTGTGTAAATGAGCGCGGAAATCCATGGCGGCAAACGGATATTTGATTTGAACCTGTCCTCTTGATTTTTCCACATTTCTTCTTCGAAACGTATTTTAAATGCCTAAAACGAATGTATTAAAAAAGTTGGGACTGCGTCCTATTATAATACACCTACTTTTGCTCGGTAACAGGCAGTAATTTCAAATAAAGTTAGTTTTTCTTCTGCTCATGGTGGTTCTGCAGGTTCAAACAAGTTGTTACAGTTCTAGATGACCGTTACTCCCAAATGAAATTAATCGGGCGACGACGGACCAAAGCTAACCTAAAGTTAAAAAAATATGAGTGGGTAAGTGAATTTGGGCAAAAATCAACCTAGAATACTTTGTTTCCGCAATTTTATTTAGTTCCCGCCCTACATTTGAATTTCAAACTTGTCCCGATTTCGTCGCCAATCCTCTAGCCAACAGTAGAGGTGATTGAAAAGAAGCTTCATTTTTTGCTTTCAACGCTCCGTCTTTATATGTTTGGTCATTATTCACGTCCGGACCAAAGACATAAAGACGGAGGGCTAAAAGCGAAAAATGAAGCTTCTTTTCAACCACCTCTACGATTGGCTAGAGGATTGGCGGCGAAATCGGGACAAGTTTGAAATTCAAATGTAGGGCGGGAACTAAATAAAATTGCGGAAACAAAGTATTCTAGGTTGATTTTTGCCCAAATTCACTTACCCACTCATATTTTTTTAACTTTAGGTTAGTTTTGGTCCGTCGTCGACCGATTAATTTCATTTGGGAGTAACAGTCATCTACAACTGTAACGGCCTGTTTGAACCTGCAGAACCACCATGAGCAAAAGAAAAACTAACTTTGTCTGAGATTACTGCCTGTTACCGAGCAAAATCAGGTGTATTATAATAGGACGCAGTCCCAACTTTCTTAATATATTCGTTTTAGGCATTTAAAATACGATTCGAAGAAGAAATGTGGAAAAATCAAGAGGACAAGTTCAAATCAAATTTCCGTTTGCCGCCATGGATTCCCGCGCTCATTTACACACTCACACAAGCACCCAGCGCCAAACCAGGCTTCACTTTTTCCCCATGCTTTTAGATACGAGCACTCCGTCTTTATGTCTTTGGTCCGGACTCTTGTTTTCTCTTTGCGATAACACCGCACTTGGGTTAGGTCACTCGATATGAACAAATTCAGGTTAGGTTACGTTTTGATAGTTCGAAGATTGATACTTCGGTCGAAATCGATAAATCGATACCTAGGTCGTAATCTATCGATCGGAGCTCAATATCGAGGCTCGATCGTGTTTTAATTTGAATTTTCCACCCTATCATGTCTTCTGATCTGTACCTTTGTAATTTGACAGAGTCACTGTTATGGGCTTGTGTCCTCATACTGTCCATGCGCTGTAGACAATGGTTATCCAAAGTATCAGCACTAGTGATTACTTTTGCTAGGCATCTATTATGCATCAAACGGTCCCCCTCTCCCAAGAAGGTTTCTCATGTTTGCTCACATCATATCAGTCGAAATGGAGCGCTGATTGCAGAAGAGGCACCTCTCGGTTGTGGTATTTTAGAACATATACATATACGGAATATTCTTCAAGATTCCACAATCTAAAAATCAAACAGCACGGTATCCTCTCCAAACTTTTAATTAGTCGTGGAAACTCTGGAATATCGCAATTGAGGAGTGACCTCTCTGCTCCTGAAGTCTTAATTATACCGAATCAAGTTGAATTTGGAGTTCTGGATGATTCACTAATTCCACGGTACCAATATGAATATACGATGTTCCAAGCTCCTATTCTTCAGGGTTCTCTCATCAACACCATTATTGATATTATTTTTGTTTGTATTAAAAATGAATACGCGGGTGAGTTCAAATAAGCATCTAATCTGATGTCCCCAGCTGTTTTAATCGTCATAATCTGAGAAACATGGGCAGATCAACTTTTTTTCTCATTTTCCACACTATTGTTGACTATACATGCTATTTTCCACTTTATTTGGACTGAAATAAAAATTTAGGAGAACTTTGAATGTGCAAATTGCCTACATTTGTCCCAAATTTGCGTGTCCCCCGTGCCTGGATCTTGACTTTAAATCGATGTTGCAGCATAACTAGAGTGATTATTTAAGAAAACTTTATCGGAGATGATAGGCACCTAATGCTTTTGGATTTGAGAAAAAAAATATGTCAATTTCTTTTTTGCTCCATCAATAACTTTTTCACGGGCTAGAATCATTGTCCCAAGCAACAGTCAGGATAGACATGGCAACAATGTAGGTAATAAGCTCTAAATGATTGCCGTAACGTTGAGGTTTTTCCAAAAACGGCTTTTTTTGTTTCGATTGAATAGCTCACACTTCGCAGATCGCAAAAATTCTGAAATTCGCAAATTTTTTTGCAAGATTAACGCCATTAACGATGCCAAACAAAATGCTATACACGATAACTAACAGGGCGTCAAGCATACACACACACACACACCCTCACCCTCACCCTCCCTAACATCAGCTCGTAAAATACTTTCGAAGTGTGCGTTGGGGAAAATTTTCTCTTATTCCGATACTCTAAGATGTGCTACTAAATATTCCGTGAGAAAAAACACCAAAATTGTCTTTACTGTTACAGATAAGCTTAAAAAACAGCTTATTTCTATCCTGTCCCGTTCCATCCTGTCCCATTTGTTTCCATCCTGTCCCATTTGTTTCCATCCTGTCCCAGTGTCCCAGTTAAATGGGACTGAGTAGAAAACTTTTTCTACCGATTTAAGTGAAACTTGGTACTGTATGGTATTTTTCGATGGGGAACTCGAATTTTTAGTCGAATTATGAAAATTCGAAAATCCAAGATGGCGGAAATGACCTAAAATGCTATCGCAGCGCCTACTCAACTGAAACTTGTTTGTGTAAGCCCTGTAGGCGCTCTTTTTAACCGATTTAAGTGAAACTTGGTACATGGCGGTATTTTTCAATGGGAAACTTGAATTTTTAGACGAATTTTCAAAATTCGAAAACCCAAGATGGCGGACATGGCCTAAAATGCTATCTCAGCGCCTAATCAATCGATTTACGCGAAACTTGGTACTCGAGGGTATTTTTGAATGGGGAACTCGAATTTTAGTCAAGTTTCCAAGATTCGAAAATCTAAGATGGTGGCCGTGGCTTAAAACACCATCTCGGTGACTAATTAATTGATTTTAATGAAAGTGGACCGGAAAACCTTGGTATTAGGAAAAGAAAGGAAATTTTGATAGGGGTGCAATAGGGTTTCTTATGTATCTTAGGCTACGAAATCGAAAAATTCCGGGGTTTTTTCCATCGTGCACAGATTCTCCCGGAAAATTGACTCTTCTGGAAAAGCTAGATTTTTAGGGAAAATTCCGATTTCTCCGGAAAAATTCCGAACTTTCCCAGGATAAATCGGATACAGGTAAATGGAGGTGTTCTTCAGAATCAGCGCCAAAAATCTACTCCGAAACTATCGGCAAATCTTCGGAAAATCAGAAAAGAAAACGTTGACCGGTGTAATTGTTATGTTAATGTAAGTCCTGAAACTTTTCTTGGCTTTATCTCCACTTCAGTGGGTACACGCCCACTCGAAGTTTTAAAATTCGGTGTTTTTGATCCATTTTGTATTGCAACATTTCAAGAAATAAAAGCTTCTTCTCGTGTTTAAGGAAAACAGTGCGCATTTTGATAAACAGACGGAACTGTCTAAAAGACAAGCTCAATAAGCTCCAGATATCTTTCATGACGGATGAATTTTTTCTCAATTTTTTTGGTTCTGCAAGATATGAAAGGGTTACATGTTTTCAATTACCTATACTTTAATTTAGTGCTCGACGATGCTTTTATGACAATTGTGTTCAATTTTTAATGAAAAGTATTGTATGTCACCTCTGAGATGAAAATTTGGGAAATCAGGCAAAACTAGAGCAAATTTTGGGAAGTGATACACTTGACCGTGGAAATTCGGGTTTAAGCCCAACTATTAAGCTTGACGAGCTATATTTCCTAAGTCTACACCTAATGATAGTCAAAATAAAGTTTGGTTTGCCCAGAAATTCACAAAAAATTTTGGGAGGAAATAGAACCTGGAATTTGACCCTTATTTGAATTCACCCACGCATTCATGCTTACAGGAAGAATTATGAAACGCATAAAATCAAATGGAACGATGCGCAGAGGATGAGAGTGCTTCATAGTTCCTTCTAGCTCAAACATGTCGAAATGTAAATGTGTATTTATATCAACAGTGATCTTTTCACAACTTATGACTTGTTCAATAATGAAATAAAGTACTTATTTTAATTTTGATGTATTTTTCGGTAGGTACACCCCTCGGTCAGGAGGTGACCGTTATGACAACCGGTACCGCGGCGTGGGGTCCGGAGAGTACGGAGACTATACGGATAGCACGTACGGAGACGGCGATAACAATCGGCTGACAACGCGATCACGACTCCGTTCGAGGTTCGGACGGCACACTGGTGGCGATGACTCGGACAATGACGGTCAGTCTGGGAGAACGGTTCGCTTTTTGGAAACTCACGTCCCGCTTCAAAGCCAGCGGGAACGTGAAAGAGTTCTCGATACAGAGGACGTCTCCAAGGGCCCCCTGAGTGGCATTACCCGCCTCTACGATTCACCTAGAGTCATGAAACGCATCCAGGATTCCAAAACCAAAGACAAACGGAAACCCTCCGAAACGCCCGCTAAAACCGAGGTACGTAAACTTCTACTCATCAATAATTCACAAGTGATGTAACTGTAAATATTCACTATCGAAACAGATATAGATTGTGTGTAATTAATCCAAAAATGGAATAATTTGAAGCATCATTTGAGATGCATCTACATTGCTACATGTTACATGCTAACCATATTACACCCTAGTGTACATAAAACACCACCATGATGTTCAAATGATCTACAACGGTACAAAAAGATCTTCAGTGATCACTGTCAAAGTCGCCGGATTGTGATGGATCGCTTTAAGTACAGTTTCTATACTTGAAAATACGCTTATTCTAACCTGTTTATTCCAGGAAAAGAAACAACAGAGGGAGTACCACATCTCAATCCGGTAAAACAGTAGTGATGATCGCTAAAGACTTTTCTTTACTTTTGATGATCATGGGTATTGGCTCCCCTTAATTTTCAGGCATTTAACGAGGGGGAGCAGGTTCTTGGGGGGCCCAACCCTTCCATCTCTCGAAAGCAAAAAGAAAAAGAAAGACAGGTTGAAAGATTGGACCCGACCCCCCCCCCCCCNCCCGTAGTGGGCTAGAATGTGTCTCTAGTGGCGCTTAATTGGACTGCATTTTTCAATTTGGACCTATAAATTCTAGCTCATCTGAAAAAACACTTATGTGCATAGGGAAACTAATGGCACCTACGTTGTTTTTCAACTGGGCCGGAATTCATAGTTCCAAATTGCAAAAAGCAGTCTAATTGATAACTCCCGCTGGGTCTGACATATCTTTCAAAACATGATGATGTCTATACGGTAATTTGATCTGCTTTTTCCAAATTTTGTGAAAAAAAAAAACCGGCGAAAACGTCTAATGTACGTTTGATACGTCGAAGGCCGAAGGAATCTCTCGATGAAAAGAGGGTTTTATGATTCATATAAGATGGGGGAGAGACACAATCATGGAACATAAAAAATGTTATCTCATCATCAAACCTTGAAATTCTATGTAATGGTATGCAAAAGTCGATTCTGCGGCGCGTTAGGGCGCTCTACGACGGCTACCCGCCGCAGGACTCTGTCATGGCAGAGATCCTCCGAAAGCTGGCAGCCGTTCATCTCTCCACGGATGCTCTCTACCCTCCGTTTGGCTGGACGCCCTCTTCGTCGCCTACCAGGAGGGACTCACTCCAACACCTTCTTTGGCAACCTGGTATCAGCCATCTTCTGTATATGCCCATACCATACCATTTGCTTGGTCATGATATCGTGGTCATGATATCGTGGTCATGATATCGTGGTCATGATATTAATGTCCCCTCAACGCCCATTACCTCTCGGACACGTTCATTCCTGATGCGTTCTCTCCTCGAGATTCCAGCCAATCTTCGCCAGAAATCCATCTCTGTCGCCTTGAGCATTTCTTGGGTCCGCATCTTCAACTGCCACACTCCACTGCCATAGGTCATGATAGGCCTGACAACAGAGTTATAAATCCTCTTTTTGTTGTCCTCGGAGATTCTTTTGTCCCGAGGAATCCCATTCAGCATGACGATGGCTTTTCTCCCTTGAAGATTACGGTCCCGAATGGCCTGATCCAACTTCCCACCCGAAGTTAGCTTCACCCCCAGGTACATACTTGTATTGTTCGGAACTATCTATATGTTGACCATCCTCCAGGACTATGCTTTGCTGCGTACCCCGACTGACGTCTTTTTCGTCTTACGGACACTAACCTTGAGTCCCCCCTTGCGGTACTCCTCAACCAACTTCCGGGTCATATACTCCCATCATCGTGATCTTGACTTATGGATGCCTGGTCGTCAGCAAAGCATAGCGTGAACAGAGTTTCTTGGTCATTCACAGGAATACCCATTTCCGGCACACTTTCTTTTCCAATCCTTTAGAACGTGCTCTAGATAAATCTTAAATAGTGTCGGTGACAGACAACACTCCTGCTTAAGCCCCTTGGTGACATAAAATCCGTTTGAAAGCCTACCTTTACACTTAATTCTGGCAAAAGTCCCCCAATAAAACTGTCTAACTGCCCCAATAAGTTCTTTACTAAAACCAGTTTCTTCCAGGACGTCCCTAAGTTTCAAAAGAGGAACATTATCATAGGTAAGCCTTTTGAATACCCAAGAAAACTAAATGGAGCTCCTGACCAACAATCGTCTTCTTTTCGGTTAAGTGGGTAACACAAAACAGATGGACGTATTTCTGTCAAACTGAACTAAGTGCCATAAGGAGAGGAGGGTAGAGGGGGGCTTGGATTAAAGGCGGAAACGGGCGTCGGGCTCGTTCCGTCCTATACTCGCAATGCTTTTCCATGGCGCTTAGTTCCGTTTGACAGAACGCGCTATCCGGCATTCTAAATTCCTCAAAAGGAACTCAAATTGGCGCTTAGTTCCGTTTGACAGAAATACGTCCAGATGATCAACGGTACCGACCAGTCTGCTTGCTTCTCCGCCTCGAACGGGGTCCACTGTTCTTCGGTCTTCGCTTCCTTAAATTTTACTCATCGTTCCTATTACCGCTAACCCTCTGCAGTTCCCACAGTCATCTTTCCTTCCCTTTTTATGAGACACTGTCATCCAGGCCTCGACTTCCCATTGTTCCGGGATCTTATCACCGTCAACGCGATTTTGCAGCAAATCCCTAAGATGGTTAACCAATTTGCTTGTCCAACATTTAATTCATTCAGCTGGAATATTCCCTGGCCCAGGAGCTCTTCCATTCCTTAATTCCCTGATTGCTTCGACCACCTCATCCACTTGAATTTCTATTGAGTATAATCTTCGACTAGGTATCGAAAGGTCTTTCCTGCGGCAGTGAGCATTACCTCCTCGGGGCGGAAATAGCTTTCCCAGTGAAAGGGAACCAGGAGAACAGGCAAGCACAAAAGCAGGTTCACCAACAAAAAGATCGTGTCAAGCTTGTAAGTTATAATATTGACAGCTTGCAGCATCCAAGTGTAAGGGCATTGTACTTAAAGCGCTTGGATGAGAAGTTGGGCGAATCAAGGCACGGTGATACCGAACAGCAGTATCAGTTCCTTAAGGATTGAATTCATTCGGCAGCAATGGAGGCTCTTGGTATTGCTGATGATAGAAAAGTTAGTGAAAAACCTTACTGGTGGGATGAAGAAAATGAGAAGGAGATTCAAGAGAAACGAAAAAAGTACCATCAGTTCCTTTCTTCTAAAAAAGCAGAATACAAAACAGGCGTATAGAAAAGCTTAGACGCAGGTGCGAAGGCTCATCACCAAGAAAAAGAACGAATCTTGGAAGAGGAGCTATAATCGAATAGACTCGTACTTAGGAGGAAGGAAAAGTACTGAGAGCTGGAAGTTGCTGAAAGGACTGCGAAGGGACATGAAGCGGGACTTAATATCTCCGATATCCACTGATAAACTGGAGGGTTATTTTAAAAATTTACTGACAGAAAGGCGACCTGAATTTCAAGATGGAGGTGTAAGCTTGGAGTATACCAATAATAATAACTTGGAGATTCTCATGAAGGACGTGGTAAAGGCCGTACGAGAGCTGAAGAACGATAAAGCTCCGGGTCCGGGAAATATCCCTACATAGTTGATCAAGTGTGGAACCTGCAAGCTATTTCAGCGTGTGAGAGAGCTGATGCAAGATTGCTTGGCAGGTGGCAAGGTACCGATCAAATGGAAAGAGTCTTGGGTGTCACCTATATACAAGAAGAAGGGTAAAAGGATGAGTGCGATAATTATACAGGACTGTTAGTCGCATGTAGGTACCCTGAACAAGGTATACGGACTGAAAGCTAAAATCTAGGATTATAGTGGCAAGAACATGAAGCGGAAGAGCAAGCCGGTTTCAGAGCCGGTTGGTCAACAATTGATTTCTTATTTACCATCATCCATGCGATCGAGAAAAAGAAAGGATTAGGCCAAGAATTACATCTAGCGTTTGTGGATCTCCAGAAAGCTTACGATAGTGTGCCATTGATGAAACTTTGGGAAGTCTTGAACAAAAGGGGTTTTAGTGGAGGACTAATTAGGTCGATTAAAGAATTTTATGATGGGGCTTTTTCTAGGGTTAAATCACATGGGGAGTTATCAGTGGGGTTTTTAATAACTAAGGGACTTAAACAAGGGTGCTGTTTGTCACCAACCCTTTTTAAAGTGTACCTACCTTGAAGAGGTTTTCAAGGAATGGAAGAGATGCTGTTCAGGAATGGGCGTCCCGCTACGAGAAGATGGCGCCCTTTGTGCTTTGCTGATGATCAGGTGGTAATAGCTCAGGACGAAGAAGATGCGAATTACATGACGTAAGTGGTATACCGTAAGAAGTATACCGTAAGTGGGGGATGGAAGTTAATGTGGTAAAGACGGAGAAGTTGGTTATCGGTGGTGATCAGCAAAGCATTGAACTGGAGGGTGGTCGGAAAACTCAGGACTGTGAAGAGTATAAATATCTAGGATTTTGGTTAACTATGACGGAAATTTGGATCGGACCGTTAAAGATCGAAATGTGCGAGGCAGGAAAGCTATCGCGATGCTAAATGGGATTCTCTGGGACCAGAGTATCTCCACCAAAAGAAAAATTTACAACGTCATCGTGAAGAGTATCGTAACTTACGGGAGTGAGGTCTGGCAACTCAAGAAAAGAACTGAAGACATACTTAGGGCAACGGAGATGGACTTTTGGCGAAGGTCTGCTGGGAAATCGAGAATAGAGCGTATCCGCAATGAAAAGGTCTGCGAGATAATGGGTGTGGAGAAAGACATCGTGCACGATATCAGGTCCCAGCAGCGGGTATGGTATGGACATGTGTAAAGGATGGCAGATGGTTGGTTGCCCAAGCAGGTCTTCAATTGGGTGGAGGCGGAGATCAGAAGGTGCCAATTGCCTGATGATCTCTGGGAGGATAGGGGGCAATGGCGATTGGGCGTCCCAGAGCGCGAGGCGGCGCTATAAAAGCGGCTTTATGTATGTATAATCTTCGACTATGCTTTCAGTATTCCCCGTATGTAACTCTGGTCGTTCTTCAAACCGCGAGATTGTTATTGGAGATAAAATGTCCCATTTTACGTCCCTTCTCAAACCTTTGATCAGTTTCCAGCTTTTAGTACTCTTCCCCTGGGTATGTGTCAATCCTTGAGCAGTTGTTCTCCCAAGGCTCGTTTTTCTTCCTGGTTATTAAACTACGAACCCTTGGCTGGGCTCTCCTATCCTCACCACGGGTGTCTGCGGTCCTGTCTTCTGTAGGCCAGATAGTCATGATACATCCTGCGCTTTTCATCAATTACTTCCTCTACATCTTTGTCTCACCAGTAGGGTTTCTGCTTATCCTTACTCTCATCACATACCCAGGGCTTCCTTCGCCGCTGAATGTACACAACATTCGATGAACTAGTACAACTCCTCCGCACTATCGAAAGCTTCTACTCCTAGTTTCTCATCCAGCCGCTTTCTATAGAATGCTTTTGTTGAGTGATGAATAGTGACGTAGGTATTTTCAATATGGCGCTTGCGCAAAATGTGTGTCTATTGTATGTTGTCCTCCTGTATGTTCTATTCTATGTAACAATGTGAAAGCCTACAAGAGTTTAATTAAAAGTATCCTCGCTATGAATCTCAAATATATTTCATTGTAATTCAAACTAGTTCCCCTTCATGGCAGCAGAGCTTGGTTGGTGCTCAAAATGTGCTCGACAAATAAGAAGTCTAAAGTTAGTGAAAGTCTGAAAGTAAAACCAAAAAGGTCGTATTCGTGAGCGCGCCGTACCTACCGATCAAGAAAACCTCGTGGCGTTCGTGAGTGAAAACCGTGTCAAAAATGTCGTTTATACGGTCGGACGATGTAACCATTCCCATTTTTGACGGGGAAGATTATAGTAATTGGAAAAAAAGGATTTTGAAATTCTTACAATTCAAAAAGTGCGCGACGGTTGCTATTCGAAGCAAAACAGAGTCTGACAAAGACGAGGACTGGACAACAATGGATGTTGAAGCTACAAATTACATCTATAATGCGATTAGCAACAAACAATTGGAATTTATCGGTGACCTAGAAAGTGCGTATTTGATTATGAGAAAGTTCGATGAAATGTATTCAAAAGAATCAACAGCATTACTAATCGTCTGTAGAAATCGCCTCGAGAACATCCGCCTAAATCAATTTTCGGATACAGCTAGCTTTTTCAATGAATTCGAAAAGGCGGTTAACGAACTTAAAGCGGCCGGAGCAAAAATAACCGAACAGGAGAAACTAAACTATATGTTAAGGACCTTGCCAGAATTTTACAGTCACATTGGTGACCTGATAGATGTATTGAAGGAGGAAAAGAAAACGGTCGAGTACGTTAAAACCAAGATTTCCTTGAAAGAAAATCTGAAGAAGAACTTGAGTGACGAATCAAAAGGTGCGAATGCCTTTGTAACAGAGACTAGAGGAACGTGCTGGAACTGTAATAGCCCGGATCATTATCAGCGCGACTGTGTCCGACGGAATCATCGAGGAGGTCAATCCAGAGGTGATCATCATCAGCGAGGGTGGAATCAAGGAAACCAGCGAAGAGGAAGTTACCCCAGAGGGAACAACCTCGTATCTTAAATGCATTACTATACGAAGAAACAAGTGTTCGCTCTTGCGGGCGTCCAAGGCAGCAGATTGGAATCGGAATAATTTTGATCAACTCCTCACGACAAAGCTAAGCGTGTACCAAGTTTAAAGGAAATCGCTTCGGCCAATTTTTCTCTGGGGGGGGGGGGGG